AGGTATTTCCAAGGCCCCATTTCTGTTTACCCACGTCACAAAGCCCATCACGCAGTTTCCATATCACTGAGGAATCATCTTTGAGGCATTGAATGATAATTGCATACAGATGCAGGCGGATCGTCAGATTTTTCAGCAGCATCTACGGTTCACCACCAACTGGTTCCTTAAACTGAATTATCAACACCACTAACATTTTCTGCGTCCGTGCATTCAATCTGTTTGGGGAGCACATCTTCACAATTAACAAGTTGCAGGGCTCTAGTAGTTAGTTGATTGAACCCTGCACATCAAGGATTTGGGGCAATAGGTACCCGGTGCAATAAGCCATATGACTGTTAACCCTCTAACACCTCACAGGCAGTTTGGGTTATCCAGGGTAATAATGTGTAAACAGCTTGAGCATGCAGAAGTGTGTGGAAACAGTTGCTTTATAAATAGCCATTATTATTATTATTGTTTACAGATTAAGATGAAAAATGCAGCAAAGAAGGTTCGGGTGATCCTGACAGGCAGGCTGGTAAGCTCATCATCAGCTCAGGGGCCCTTGCCTCCTCTCCATGCTGCCCAGACAGCGAATGGGACTTCTCCCATGAAGCGCTGACTAGAGGAATCCAACAAGAACTTTCCAGAGAATATTGAGACTCCCCAACAGTGCAGCCTTCTGCATTACCCAGAGTGTCAGAAGGGCTGTGCTCCTGGTGGAGAACCCAGGCACTCTCCTGATCTGCGCCAAGAGATCAGGAGGTACCAAACCAAGGGCATCAAGAACATAGGGGAGCCTGACGACAGTGTACTTGGGATGTTAAGCAAGACATTTCAAAGGTGCCGTATATTTCCTGGATCTTGTTAATCAGTTTGCTGTCAAAAGAGTAAGAAAATTCAGTGATATAAATAAATTCGTTGGCTTTATCATAAAGGACAAGATCAGGTTTGTTGGCAGGAATCTTTCTAAGGCAGTAAATGGGCCTGTTACAAGAAGGTTAAAGCATCATTTTCCATGATGCCCTAGACATGTTCAGGGTCATACCATGGATGGACCTTGGAGTCAAGCCACAGGCAAGGCGAAGCTGAAAATAGAAGACAATAAATGAGCCATGCCATCATGTCATTTAAGATATGATGATTATGACAAGGGGCGTCTACTGACATGGTATTGGAGAGTCTCTGTGAATTTATTGCACAATCAACATTTCATATTAATATTTTCTAAAAGAATTTCAGTTTGGCAATAGCGAGTCTGAAATGACTGGTCTTGGGCAGCCGAAAGGAAGCCCACTGTTTCACTTTTAAGACCAGCCGACTCCATCCAGGTGAAGGAGGGCGGTGGGGTAGCCTAGTGGTTAAAGCGTTGGCTTGTCACGCTGAAGACCCGGGTTCAATTCCCCACATGGATACAATGTGTGAAGCCCATTTCTGGTGTGCCCCGCACTCCCACATATTATTATGATTATTCTCTGATTGAGCTGAAGATCTACGATCAACCTACCTCATGACTCAGACAACTCTACATGTTCCCTTTATGATGATACAAGGAAAAGTATTGAGGAATATTGCAAAGTGCAGGGTATTCTGTTTCCAACCAAGGCGTCACCTCAGACCATCGCCAAGTATCTTCAGGTACTCTGTGTTTTGATGAAACTCAAGAGATCCTCATTGTCCACTTAAAGAACAAATAAACTTTGGTTTATTTTACTCTTTTAACTATTACATATGAAAGATTTGTGGTTAGTCTTATGCAGAACACCAAATTCATTATTAAAAAACTTATGGTTAATTAATACCGAGTGATTAAAAGTTGCCAAAAAGTCGCCTGCTTCACTCTCGCCCGCCAACGAAACCACAGACAGGTTACGTAACTTTGTCGCCAGAGCACTGCAGTGACGTCATATGAGGAAGGATTTTCAATTAGTTGTATAGAAAGTGTGTAGCAAGCTCGTCATTTTGATGATTTCTCGACATCAACGAAGACATGCCAAATCGTTGCGTTGTCGTCAATTGCTCCTAGAGGTCGGGCAATGGTGTCGCCATGCAGGACCCCGCAGTTCGTGCAAAATGGGTTATGTTTGTGAGTGCGAAGCGAGCGTTGTGGAAGCCTGAAACGATATCTTACTTGTGTTCAGATCGCTTCACGGAAGTTAAAGAATCAAACCTACTTACTAGTCGTAGTAAAATATGTATATGATTGATGACCATAAAGATTTTCCATGACACAACTTGTAACATAACGATTTCTGCCTCAGAAGCAAGGTTGTGGTTGAAGTAACAATAATACTGTAAGTAGTATTATATTGACACCCACCTCGCTTCCACGAGAGAAATTGTTATGTTATACGCTATGTCATGCAAAATCCTATTGGCCATCAATCAAATACATATTTTACTACCAGTAGAAAGTAGTTTTGATTTTGTAACTCGGTGAAAAGCAAACCTAAATAGCATTTATCCTCAGACTGGCGGATGTTCGCGACAGGGCGCCGCCATTTTTGAAAATCGTGAAGTCACGGGCTAAAGTCTGTTAGAATGAATGAGATTATGGTTTGTTTTCATCAAGAACTTATAACATAACGATTTCTTCCACCGAAGCGAGGTGGGGGGTCGAAGTGACAATACTGCACGATAAATTTCTTGCTACATTCACGTGGTTAACGTGCACTCACAAGTATGTAGATACTAGTCAATGTACGTCTTTATATTTGGTCTTATAATCCTAATTAGTTTATTATCATACTTGTATGCATTTTGAAACTAAATAAAAAGCAGACGATCTGCTGATACTTATAGTGAAGTTATAACAGGACTAACATCTAGACATTTAAAGTTTGCCAATGTGAATCATAATTCGCACACATGCCCTAGTGTATGTCTCATTACACTTCACGGCGAAAAAAATGATTCTGTTCAATGCTACGACAAATGAATAAAAACAAAATGCAAATATTAAAATTAAAACAGATTAAATTTATAGGAACAATGTCAGGCTATTACCTTGTTCGAGGAATGTATCCATCAATATCCACAAAAACGAGTGATATGTCATTCATCTGCAGCTGTTTCAAGTAATGTGTCTTTTAACAGTCTAGTATACGAAAAAGTGATATATTGTTTCAGGTATGTCACATTGGTGTATAGTCTCATTGGTCACCCAAGATAGCACACCTGGCAACTGATTGCATAATGTCCGCCATTCTTTAAAAACGGTAATTTAGTTAGCCAATAATGAGTAATCAATCACTGTATTGGCGGTTAATCTTTTGAAGGAAGGACGTTGTTTTTACGCAGGCACAGACACGACAGAGTGTATTCAGTATAGATTAGTAAATCTACATACATAAACACTACCTTTTGACAATTCCGCTGTGTAAGATAAAAGTAATTAATCAATCAGCGTGTTATCGGTTAATTCTTTGATCGATGTTTATAATGTTGAATATTTACTCCAGACACAAGAAATGCCAAATGGGAACCTTTGTCGGGTAATCTAAGTGATGTTACGACTAATTATACCTGTTATAAATTCATTAACTGACCACCAAGTGAATGATGACAAATAACGTGTAGGTTTATACCACCTAACATGTGTTACAACGAGGGAGTATTAATTGCTGTATTGCATGCAATTTTAATTGCATGTGAAAACTTATGGGCCGACACTGTTTTGAGAATACAAACAGGACTTCATTGTTGCATAAGAAATACGTATAAGCATTTGCTGTGTGCTAAAACTGTATGTACCTATTTACCTAAGTAATATTTCAGATTCTTCAAGCAATGGCAAAATAGGGTTGTTTAGTTTACCGTTTCAAATAAATCAAATGTCAATTTTTAATATCATACGTAATAGATGTCATAGTTTTACTTGACATGATTAAATATCGAGGTAAAAAACACAGAAATGGGATCAATTTGGATCAGTCATTATACAAATAAGGCCTAGCGACACCAATCGATTTTGACAGAATCGTCTATGAAAACAAGTTGTAACTCGGAAACTAGGCAAAGCAGGAGACAAAATTATATGACAGTAGATTGTGAGAACATATAGCTTTCATTTTCCACAACAGTTGTCACAATTTCAGGTTTATACAAACCTGTAAACAAGATAATTTACCCCCTGAAATGTAGATGAATTCTGCATCGGCCCTCATATCTATTCCTCATATGACATCACAGAGACGCCCCGCTCTCATTGGTTGAAATTTCGTTCGCGGGTGAGAATTGTGCACTGTTGTCAAAAAGGTTGATTTAAGTTGATTAAAGATCGAAGTGAGTAGTTTGAATGACGGGGTTTCATTTATAGCAATGCCAGTTAGTGATTTATGCATTTGTACCCACCTAGAGTATATGTGATCTTTTACTTTGTTTCAATTTACACTATTGTGACCACAGTGACTGGTACCAAAATGTCTGCCGTTTCTGAACTTCAATATAAGTCCTGAACTTCCCAAAACCAGGAAATGACTATATAGCTGGCATTTACATGATCAATCTGGGCAGGTCACATGGTCTGCATGAGCTTCCAGTAAGATGCGGGTTAGAATTGATCTTCAGCATTCCATGCTTGTCTTAAGAGGCAACAAACGGGAATGGGTGGTCAGGGTCACTGACTTGATTGCCACATGTCATCGTATCCCAATTGCATAGATCTGATGCTCATGCTGTTGATCACTGGATTGTTTGGTCCAGACTCGATTATTTACAGACCGTCGCCATATAGCTGGAATATTGCTGAGTGCGGCGTAGAACTAAACCCACTCTCTCACTCACCCCATATCAGTAGTTGGAGTGAGCTGTTCAGCGAGGCTGAAAACTTCATTTCCACTCCATATTTGAAAGAACAAGAGAAAGTGCATAACATTAGATAGTATCAGTTTGATTAATAGAAAAATAATAGTTAAAATTCAGTTTCTTGTGAGAAAGTTTGGGGGCATTCATGAAATGGAAGAACTGATTCTGCTTCAACAGCAGGGTTAACTATAGGTTGTTTGTTTTTCTGGCAGATGTCGGGAATGTTGTCAATGTGAACATCAAAAAGGAAATCAAAAGAAACAGCTCTACTTTGGAACAAGTAGGGAGCAAAGTGGAGAAACAGAAAGAACAGCTACTGACCATGATGAAGACAAGTAATATGCCTCAGTATACAGGTCAGTCAACACAAAGTATTAGAAACTGTAATCTGGTCAATCAGTTTAAACTCAAGCACTGTTGCATCATCATAAAGGCTGCCACATTGCCCCAAATAACTTAAGAAAATCAAAACAAACACCACACTCCCCAAACAAGATTAATTCCTGCATATAGTTTAGCCACTTGTCTTGTATTTTGGCTGTCATCACTCAGAAATGTGTTTCATGGGGAAGTTTCTTCCTAGACCACGGTAATAGAAATTCTACATCCAACCCAGCAGTTTCCTTTAGTGATTTTCAGCAGGTAATCAAATCTCAACAAGTGACTGTCCATAGTATTGATGAGATGGAAGCTATATAAATAACTACAACATGTCCTGGCTCAGAGGCATCTCCATCCAAGATACAAGAAGAGGTTGGTCAGATTTGAGGACTACTGTCATGGATGGCATGGAAGAATTCCCATCAATAGATGGTTATTGGGGTCTTGCATTGTGGTGTCATGTGACCTCTGACCGTCTGTTCCAGCACGGATTTGGCCTTGTACCTTTGGGTTGCAGTAAACAGAATACATTTCAATTACATGAACTTGAATTTGGCATATTGATAACTCCTTGGCTGTTCACTAAAATCACCGCCCTGATTGTCAAGCTTTGCACAATTTGGTCACTCTTCACTAGTATATTAACAACTTCCTGCCATCATAGGTTGTAACATGTTGGATTCTTAGTTCAAGATGTATATGGGAGCCACATTCCAGCTACAAAAGGCATCCTTGGATTGAAGACTGATATCTAAAGACCAGGATCATGATCACATGAGCATAGAATCATTCAGACAGATCACTGTGTTGGTGAATGATCATGATTGGGGAACTTGATAACACTGCACTAACACACATACTAGGAAGACTTTTTTGGTCATGTATGATCATGGATGAACTTCCTTGTAAAGGCGAGAAATCTGGACATCTTGGTGCAGTTACTGCTGATGAAGGAGATAAATTTGTTGAATTGACGTCATATTGTTTTGAGAGAAATTCTGTTAAAATCCCATATTATACACATGCCTTCAGCTCAGGAGGGGTTGCAAGTACAAGGAGCTTGCCTGTCCCATAAAAAGAAACTTCAGATAATTTGTCTCCAGAACAACCTTCGATGTACTTGTCACATGGAATCATCAGTGGAGACAATCCTGTCCTGGATTGCTATGGGTGTCATTTAAGAAAAACCAAGACCAGCAGGTTTGATGAATGATGCTGCACTTTTATTTCCCTTGGCAGACTGGTTTAGCTGCAGGATTGAGGGCTTGATATATACTTAGAAATCTCAACATACTGGCAGACTCTCTTTTGAGAGGAACAACATATCTGTCACTTTTGAGACTTGCCTTAACTTGAAACTCCCTGTATAGGTCAACACATTTCCAGATCCACAAGCTCTGCAAGTAGACACATTATGCATAGGCGAGGAATTTGATTATCATTTTCAAAGGGAACCATTACAGAATTCAGAAACACAATTGCAACTTCTTGCATGGAGAACCCTCGGTCAGTTTTGTGAGAATCCATCGGACACGGACCTGCGACCTTCAGATTATTAGCCCAATACCTAACCAACTGAGCTACGCCCACACTGTCACATTAAGTGTAAATGTATCTAGCCATACCAATGCTGCTATGGAAAAAAACCCAGAAAGAGTTGAATTTATCACAGACAATTCCAAAGGTTACAAATAAACATGGTGTCCCATTACTTTAATCTTCAGACACTTACAACTGAGCTTGATGCCATTTTGCACTCTCATCCCTTCTACAAGATACTATGTGTGGAATGAACTGATAAGCATGGGTGACAAGACGGTATTGCACGCTTGATGACCTCAGCAACAGTCTGATGTCACGGACTCACGAGGCATTGTTGTTTGTGCAACAAAGCTTTTCAACTTACGTCAAAGGGTATTCTGATGTAATTGTCAAGTTTGTTATGCTGAATTCTGAAAGAAGGTCATCAGGAGTAATTCCACACTCCTCCCCAATGTACAGCATCAGTGATGTAGATGTTGAGAAAAAGTGAAACTTCCTGTATGCTCAGAGGTTTTGGAAGAGATACTATTTGTGCCTCACCTTGTTATGCATAGCCAATAGACTTCTGTTAAAATCTAAAGATTTTATAGTGTGATGACAGCTAAAATACAGCCCACTATGCGAATTGTTTGAATTAAAAGTTATGGTTATGATTTGATATGTATAAGCTTGAATCAAGTCGCCTCATTATCTTGAGCTTTATGTGCTTATTTTAGCCAAGAACTTTCTGAGAGTGGTTTGTGAAAGCATGACTGCTAAGGTAGCTTTGTATAATGCATTGGTTTCTTTAATAGATGAGCAGACAATATTTGTAAAGAACCTTCCAGCAGATACAACAGAGAAGGATTTGAAAAAACTCTCAAAGGACATCATTGAAATCAGGCTCAGGATTGCTCTCTCTGGGAGACGTTCGTAAGTGTATAAAGTTGATATTCTGTGTGCTTGTATACTAGCCACGTAAAGAAACTGTGCACACAGAAAATGCCTTCAGAATTGGAATACAACACAGAAAAGACGACATGATGTAGACACTTTATAAGCTGAAGTATCGGGCCTCAACAACATGTCAAAAGGACATGAACAATATCCGTAGCGATGACGCCAGAAGTTCAAAATTTAGTCGGAGGTCACACGTCGAAGTCACAAAGTCAATAACGGGTATGACTATCATGCGCGTGAAGCACAGCAGTGCATCGACGACGCCGCATAGAGGTCGCTGCCGTCGCTGCCGTCTGGAACCTCTGTTTGATATGAGTCACCCGAATCCATCTGTCCTGTCTTGGCGTCGTTACTCGGGTTACTCAGAACGTTGGTGGTCGGCAACGTCATTACTGTTTCGGAAACGCCTGACCCATGCAGATATCGTGTTACGATGGCATTGGAAATGTGCTGCCACCTGTTGTTGGCTCATGCCTGCTCGAACCATTCCAATGGCTTCATGACATTGAGCACATGTTAATCTTGGCATGATGTGCATGTGACTTCTCATGTGAATTTGTGAACGTTTGAATGACCAAAGATCAAGCTTTCGACAGTGACATCAATTTCTGAGTTTCACCTGTTGTGTGCAGCTGCACAGGCTGCACGTGCAGTTACACATTGCAAGTCCATAGGCCACCATCAATGACGTCATGTTGCCTGGCACCTGCATGAGCGTTTGATTGCCTCCAATACGCTATGTTCACACCTTTATTTATGCATAAAGACGCTGTCTGCCTATCTTTATATTTTCTGTGCACACAGTTTCTTTATGTGGCCTGTATATGTTTACTTACACAAACAATTTGCTAATATATTTGCTAATTTGCCTAAAAGACGTTGTATAAAACATCAGAACCACTTTTTCTTGGCTTTTTGTCACTGAAATGTTCAGCAACACACTGACATGATTCACTGTAAATTTCTTCACTTACACATGAAAAATGCTTGTGTGACCAGCTCTTACCTTAAAAGCGACTTACATCTCCATAATATTAAAATTTGCAAAGTTGGCTGCAGCAGCTAAATACATCCACGTGAAGCTTTTTCCATCCATAGAATTTCTGCTTTACACATATGCCTAATTTCTACATCTGTTTCTACAGATGTTTGAATGATTGGATGATATTGAAGTTCAAGGTCACTGAGTATGAACAAGGCATAAAAAATGCTTGTGTACTGAAAGTGATCAAATTTGGTACACACAGTCACTAATCACATGACAATAAAGGTATTTCCAATTCTTCAAAAGATTTTAATCTGATTTCAAAATTGCCACCTCATCAGACATATTGTGAAAGCAATTTATGACCAAGTAGTTTGTCTTCACTATTTATGCAGGCAATGTCTAGATATAAAGGTTGAAATAAATTTTTTCATTAGAGGCTGGCTTTGTTGCTATTCTCAACTGTTCAGTACAGAGCCTGGTGGCTCTTTATATGGTATCTTGCTCGTCACGCCGAAGACCCATGCTCGATTCCCCCACATGGGTACACTGTGTGAAGCCCATTTCTGGTGTCCCCTGCCGTGATATTGCTGGAATATTGCTAAAAGCAGCGTAAAACCAAACTCACTCACTCACTCACTCACTCTTTATATGGTATCAGTTTTTCAGTTTTACTTTGTGAAATCTCCTCGGAAATACTTCAACAGATAATAACTGCACATACTTGTACATACTCCCATCATTGACAAGACCCTTATTTGTTCAAGAGAATCATTTTCAATATTGCCATTCACAATTGGAAAAAGGCAATAGAAATCAATCTAAAAAATTTTATTGTTTTGGAAATGATTGTCTGACCTTCATCAGAAAATCTGGATAAGTCTCCATTTTAAGTTTACAATTGAACTTTGTTTAGGTATGCCTACTTAGTATTTCCATCAGAGGCCATTGCAGAGAAGCACTACAAGTTACTTCAGCACAAGACTTTGAATGGCAAAAGTTTCATAGTTGACTTTGTGGGCAAGAAAAGTAAGGTCTACAAGAAGATGTCTTCACCAAAGCAATCAGGTACTGTATAGAATTTGTGAGCATAGCTTCCCCACGAATTTTAAAGGTTTTGTCAGAATTTGATCTCCTCCACATGGATTCTGTCCACAAGAATAAGTTTTGTTTATTAGGCTTGTTAAGGGCTTGTTTTCTATTCAGAATTACAGACTTCCTCAACAAAACCATTCCTAAAAGGCATTAAGTTTTGTGATTCATTTTTTTTTATTATGTTTCATGTTTGTGTAATCAGTTGCAGTGCTGATCATACCCAAGTAGCATGGAAATCTACTGATTACCCTTAATTTCCTCAGCCTCGCACACTTTCTGAAGCATAGTTTTTATGTTGTGTCTCTGAAATATAAGTTTATTTCTCATAACTGTGGACATAGACTGATAATTATCCAAGCTTATATACTACTCAAAAGTAGCCAAGGAACAGTGGTAATGTTGGGTTAGAATCTTTTAGTTAATATGCTGGGAAATTTACAGAGATTGGGTGCAAAATAGTGATTTCATTTGATCGTCAACTGTTTATGGTTTAAAGGTCATGTTATGCTAGGACGATAAGCCAATTTTGAAAGGTTTGAAGTTGGAAATTAGACATTTTTCTGCATTTTTGAGTTGCAAGCTGAGGCTTCAATAGGTCTTATTCTCCCGAATATACCCAAACCTGCCAGTGCATGTGATAGTGCAAATCTCCTTTAAAATCATGCACAATTTTCCCATATAAGCAACGTCTGGAACACAGTTCAGTCACATGTTGAAAACCATGCCTCAACGTCGCCGTCTAAGCATTACCGACAGGGGGGAGAGCTATTGGGTGGATCCAGGAGGCCTGCATACGTGAGGTGGCGAGAAGACTTAATGTTTCACCCTCAGTTATTCACAGACTATGGGTTCGTTTCCAAACTACTGGAGCAGTCCGTGAACAATGCCGCCCTGGTCGTCCACGAATAACAACTCGTCGACAGGACAGATTCATCGTCATCACAGCGTTATGGCAAAGAACTGTCACTGGAAATGCCCTTATCATCCGAAATGCAGACAACATCAATGTCTCAGATCAAAACATCAGGAACCGTCTGCGTGAGAGCAATTTTATGGTCATGACGTCAAGCTGTACGTCCAGTACTGCTTCCACATCACCTAGTCAACCATTTATCATGAGCCAGATACCATTTGCGTTGGAACAGACGCCAGTGGAACAATGTGCTCTTCACTGACAAGTCTAGATTTTGTTTGCAGTACAATGATGGCCGTATTCATGTGTACAGACGTCCGTGCGAGAGGGTTTCTGACGTCAACGTTAGGGAACGAAACATGTTTGGGGTGGTCAGTTATGGTGTGGGGGGCTTCAGCAATGGTCACCGCACTCCTCTATCACATCCAAGGGAATCTGACTGCCGTAAGGTATCGGGATGAGATTTTGCAACCCGTCTTTATTCCAGCCTTAAACGCCATTGGTCAAGCAGCTATTTTGCAGGATGTTAACGCACGACAATACCGTGGGAGAGTTGTCATTGACTTCCTGCAACAAAACAATGTCAACACCATGCAGTGGCCGGCCTATTCACCCGATCTAGCGCCCATTGAACACCTGTGGTACGTGTTAGGGCAACGTGTAAGGATCAATCATCCACCCCCTGTAAACGCTGCACAGTTGTTACAATTCCTGCAACAAGAGTGGTTAGCTATTCCCCAAGACTCTCTGAGGAATCATATTGCATCGACGAGACGACGGTGCCTCGCCTGGATTGAGAGCAGAGGGGGACACACGCGGTACTAGAGAACTCTAGTTCCTGTGACTTTTGCAAGTGACCCTATCATGGTAAAAGGTGCATTGTGCCCACACACTGCTTGTTGTCCCCCGCCGTAACGCGGAACGGGTGACTATGTATTCAGCGGCGTCTGTACATACGTCCCGATTCGTGATATCTCATGCACTGTAATATCCAATGTCATGAAATTTGGTGAGAGCCTGCATTAGGGGATTACGCAGACACCAGTCCATTTGGGTGACCTTGACCTTTTTTTCAAGGTCACCACGACACTTTGACCCCTTTTCAAACTGTTGTTAACGTGATATCTCATGCACTGTAATATCCAATATCTTCAAATTTGGTGACAGCCTACATTAGGGGATTACGCAGACACCAGTTTATTTGGGTGACCCTGACCTTAACTTCAAGGTCACCACGACACTTTGCACGCTGTTAACTCTTGTTAACGCGATATTTCATGGACTGTTGTACCCAATGTCTTCAAATTTGGTGACAGCCTACATTGGGGGATTTCACAGACACCAGTTGATTTGGGTGACCTTGACCTTATCTTCAACTCTTTTAACTCTTGTTAACACGATATCTCATGGACTGTTGTATCCAATGTCTTCAAATTTGGTGACAGTTTACATTGGGGTATTACACAGACACCAGTTTATTTGGGTGACCTTGACCTTATCTTCAAGGTCACCACGACACTTTGACCGCTTTTAAAAGGTGATATCTCATAAAACATTGCACCCAATGTTTTCAAGTATGTTGACAGTCTACATTGGGTGATTATGCAGACACCAGTCATTTCAGGCATCTTTTATGTGACCCAAAAATATAAAGTAGTAAATATAGATATTCCATTCTTTAACGACGGCAGACATTGCCATATCAGTGGCAAACACTTGTGTTTGATTTGAATTCATGTGAATCTGTTTCTGACCATAACCACCAATAAAATTTGTTTTCATCGTATCATGTGTGTTTTCTGTATAATAAAAAACCTAGGTGTTGCTTGGATTCTTTTGAGTAGTATATATTTGTCTGCATGTTGTTAAATTCACATGTGGCAAATATATGTTTGATTTTGACAGTCTTCTGTAATGTTATAAAAACATTTACCAGTTATTTGGTGAATGAGTTAATAGGGGTGAAAGGGTATACCGCGGTATTTGTAGAACCGCAGTATTTTTCCTTCGGTTCGGTATACTGTAATGTAATCCCAAAATTCAGTGTTTTCGGTTTTCATGCTGTCATATCATTAAGCTTCTTAAACCATTTCTAAAATGTCTAGAAACCGAATCATTTTGTTAAAATCTATGCATTTCTTTGCTGGATGGTCGCAATTTTCCCAGAAGTAAGTTTGAGATCGCCTCAAGTCGTCTACGTAGAATCAGCAAGACAGCAACTGCAGATACAAGATCAGTAGCTGGGTTCCGTTTTCAGTTATTTCAAATCAGGCGAACAGCAGAACAACTTATAAAATACAAATTTTTCATAAAAACACGCCATCATTAGCCGAAGTACTTATGATGTTTGCGGTGTGCAACACACCGCGTTATAGTGTGGATAAACACTGCCATCCGAAAACGTATGATGTCAGAAAACACACAATAAAACGATCTTCCTCGATTTCAATTTATTTGATTAACGTTAATCCCATTTTCATTCATTATTAGTTTACAGTAACATCGGAGTAAACGTGAAATGGCATCACCTCATTCTATACGCGTACCACTTCTGCTTACCATGTTCCTGAGGGTCTGCATTTCGAGCCTACTGTGATGGCATCAATTTCACATTATTCAATCACAAATTGATTACCACCTCATCATCCAGGGACCCCTTGACCCTTGACTCATTAAAGTCATATTTTTAACTAATCCTGCACTACTTACTTCCTGCACTTATTGCTTACGACTCGAAAAGTGGCTGTGCCAGACGATTGATGTTGAAAAGCGTAGACTGCGATCACTACCTGGTCTCGGGTAAACATCCGTCTGCGCACGCATCACCGGAAGGTGACGTCAGCCACCTCAGATTATTGCTTTTGACACGCCTCGCAAGACATGTGGTTTGCCAGCTCGACTGTTTTGTGTCCTATGAATTTGTCTTTTGGGTACTTCCCTTTGTTCTTCAGAGAGTGTAGGTATTACCTTTCTGTTTCGTTTTTCGTAGTACTGTTGTAGTGATGGTGTTTGTGATAAAAGCGGTAGTTTCATCACTATTATCGGTCACTTCACCATTCAGAACACGTGGCTTCGATGTATTTGTAGTGGCTTGTTCTTGGCTCATGCTTATATGTTATACTATCATCGTATATTATTATTAAGCCTTAATTCTGGTCTCCAGTTTATGTCAGTATTTTGTGAGACATTGTTCTCATTTATGCTGTTCTACCCCGTTACTATTATATTGTTTTACTGTGTGTTCCCCATTACTATTGTAATGTTTTTCACCGTGTGTTTGCTGGGGTTTTCTGCTATGTTGCAGTTTCTATACGGCACACGCTGTATAGTTTGTAAGGCGGGGTATCTCATAAGTGCCCTCATTCACACTCTGTGAATTGCACTTTTCCGTGTTTTCCCGCGTTTTTTTCACACAAGTAATGTGCTAGTTGCTCTTACTTAATTAATATAGCACCTTTTTTTTTGAAGCGCCAGGTCCAACACCGACTTCGCCTGTGACAAGCATCCAGATACTTGCCACAACACTGATGTCCTCTAGCTCTAGGGCGTCTGGCGATCCGTCTCCAGGTTGCTGTTTCCAGCGTGTCCTTGGCAGACGTCTTACTCCTGACGCCTCAGATGCATGCGCCGCGTGCTCAGCAGTCACTGAATGTTTCAACTCCCATTTGACTTGACCTAGTTAGCAGGGCAGTCTGGTACAACAGCGCCTATACGGCGCTTCTACCACATCGACTACGACCTCGGCATTCTGCAGTCGGTGTTAGCGCCTCTGTCGCAACACCAACCTGTTCCAGCGTCGTTCCTGTCTACAGGGAATGTATGATGCATCTACCTGATCCAGCTCCTGTACGGAGCTTGTAAAGCCATACTTACTCCCTCCAGCTCCTCTATGGCGTTTCTACCAGATCCAGCGCTTGTATGACGCCTATAAACGATACTCCCTCCAGCGCCTGTACGGCGTTACTACCAGATTCAGCGCTTGTATGGCACTTACAACACCATACTTACTCGCTCACTCCAGCGCCTGTCCGGCGTTTCTACCAGATCCAGCTCCTGTACG